TTTTGATGTAATTTTGTCTGTATTTGTTCATCCAAGCACAAAAAGAAGCGAAAGAGAACTCCATTAAGTATTTGCGTGCTGGATGTGTGCACATAGAAAACTTCTCACATGGCGCTCGACAGTTCTGTAAACTGTCCCGAGCGTCTTTTACGCTCGTCCTGGCTCCTGGGCAGTCCTCATTATCGTAACCTGTGGTAATGCATAGACGGACATTGCGTGAAAATGTGGACAGTGTCAAAATGAAAGTCCCTATTTATACTACAGGTATCATTTTTTTACACGTTGCATTGATACATCGTATCGTCAGACATTTGATAAATGTATCGATCTACAAACCCAATTCCAAAAAAGTTGGGACACTGTACAAATTGTGAGTAAAAAAGGAATGGAATAATTTACAAATCTCATAAACTTATATTTTATTCACAATAGAATATAGATAACATATCAAATGTTGAAAGTGAGACATTTTGAAATGTCATGCCAAATATTGGCTCATTTTGGATTTCATGAGAGCTACACATTCCAAAAAAGTTGGGACAGGTAGCAATAAGAGGCCGGAAAAGTTAAATGTACATATTACATACTGAATATAATTAACAAGAGGCTTTTCTGTACACCTCCTGTCTATGATGCATACGAACAGAAAATAAGTATCCACTTTCAAAACTGAACCATATTTGACATGTGCACCCCTTGACCTGCTTTTAGAAGCCTTTAGCACCAGTGAATCCGCATAAGACACTAATGCAGGTGAGAAAAACAGGAGAGGCAAGGTGAGAGGAGCCAAACATGAGCTGGCAGGAGCACAGCAACAATGATCTCGTTTCACAGCTGAAAGTTCATCTCTGTGCTTCTCAAGACCAACTCTTTAAGGAAACTGGGCCACATACTGAATATAATTAACAAGAGGCTTTTCTGTACACCTCCTGTCTATGATGCATACGAACAGAAAATAAGTATCCACTTTCAAAACTGAACCATATTTGACATGTGCACCCCTTGACCTGCTTTTAGAAGCCTTTAGCACCAGTGAATCTGCATAAGACACTAATGCAGGTGAGAAAAACAGGAGAGGCAAGGTGAGAGGAGCCAAACGTGAGCTGGCAGGAGCACAGCAACAATGATCTCGTTTCACAGCTGAAAGTTCATCTCTGTGCTTCTCAAGACCAACTCTTTAAGGAAACTGGGCCTGCATAGAGTCTAATCTACTTTTCATTGGGGATAAAGTGAGATTTTTACATCAGTAATCTAAACAAAAATATTAAAACTGTGGCCTAGTGGTTAGCACACATACTCTGACTGATTGAGCCATGAAGCTCTTTAGGACATGTTTGTCCATTCTATACTGTTTGTACAAATAAAAATGGCAAAAAAAAATAACAACCTAGCAATACATTTATGTAAACAGGTAGGTCTGCTTTGCATATACACTACTGTTAAAAAGTTTGTGGTTGGTCAGTTTTTTAAATGTTTTTGTAAGTATCTTAAGCTCATCAGTGCTGCATTTATTTGATGAAAATGCAGTAAAAACAGTAATAATATTACAATTTGTTTTCTATCTTATATTTTAAAATGTAATTTATTCCTGTGATGCTGTTAGTCAACACTCTACGCACACTTTGGCAATATAATTGCCATTGGCTAGTACATTTTTTAGTTTAGTTTCGCCAGACTGGTATACTATTTTACACACACACACGCACACACACACAGTACAGATCGTTTGACGGAGAGTGAAACTCTAAAGCGCTCAGTCAGAGAGTTCAGCGAGTGAAAATATATCTATGCTAAACGTGTAATTAGCCTCTAACACACACACACTGGTGAGTAAAATCTAATAATTTATTAGCCAATGGCTAACGATAGACATTATTTAGTCGCCCAGAGTAAGATTTAGTTGCACATGCGAGTGATTTACTCGCAGTGTAGAGGGTTGTGTTATGGTTCTGTGCTATACAAGCGTGCAATGAAAGAGTAATTGAAGAAACAGTCTTTTAATAATAAATCCACAGGAAAATAAACACAAGGAATCCAGAAGCAGGGAGTAGCACAAAACACAATAGAACAAAACAATAATCGGGAAAGGAGTGAACAGAACAGGAGAAATGAGCACAGGTGAACAGAATGACAATCAAGACTACGCGGGAAACTAGGTCAATGGAACTAAACAGGACAGGAGAACAGGAACAGGGAAAATCACAAGTCCATAACCATTACAAATGCAAAGCTGAATTTTCATCAGTCATTACTCCTGTTTTCAGTGTCACATGATCCTTCAGAAATCATTCTAATATGCATTCTAATATTTCTTATTATTATCAACGATGAAGACAGTTGTGCTGTTTAATATTTTTGTGGAAATCATGATATTTTTCATGAATTGAAAGTATAAAGAACAGCATTTATTTATTTATTTAAATAAAATAAATGTATTTAAATAAATAAGTCGTTTTAATGAATACTTGCTGAAAGAAAGTACTAATTTCTTAAAAATATATACATGTGGGTGGCTTATAATAGCACAATTCTCTAACAAAATTATGATCTCCAGGAAGAGACTAACTTGACATTTAATGGGGTTGATATCAATAGGAAGAACCATCAATGAAAAGGTCAATAGAGATTTTTCAATTAAGGGTTTATTTCAGTCCAATTAATGTTTTCATTCATCTTTTTAAACTGGCATAGTAAACGAACCATATAAATCTTTACTTGAACACATCAGTGGATATGATCTTTTATATCCAAGCTACTGGGGGTGAACTTCTAGATTGGACGTTTTTAATAAGCACAGTTCAGTCAGTGTAGTTCAGAACCAACAATAAAACAGCATCAAAGAAGCCAGCATCAAAGACGCTAGCTGATACTGAGAGAAATTCATTGCCATGCCTGGAAATGTATTTATACTGTATGTTAATACACAAAAATACTGACTAATGGGGACCACATATTTCAGCCATCCTACTAGACATTTCTCTCATTTGGGTGAGGGTTGCTGACTCTTTCAGAAGGAGTCTGGATTCCTCAGCAATCTTGTGGTGGTGTGACATAGAGGTTTTGAATAGGGGAATGTTACTCAGCATGTACCGCCCATCTGCAGCTTTTAATGCAAAACATATGCTGCCACACTGACCTACTATTCAGCATCTGGCAGAGAAAGAAAGAGGAAAAGAGGAGTAAAAAAAGAAAGTGAACAAAGCTACCATCCTACCAGATACAGCTTAACCTGTAAAACCACTTCTGAAATATCGAGGCCAATCACACTGGACCCAGATCCACCAAACAATGGTGAGGAGACAAGCAAGATATTGACTTGATATCTTTCTTTTAAAACAAAGAGGCCACAAAAGCAAGACTGCTCTTCTCTAAAATGATGAAATAAATATTAAACAAAGTGTTCAGTGTGTTTGGCCCGAAGATATCATGGGCATTACGGACAAAAATGCCCTCATACTACATACACAAAGCTTTATGAATTAGTTTTCTAAGTAGAGTAGATGAGGCATATTGGTAACTGAGTGATATGTTACATAATCAAAATAACCTAAATTGCTCTTGCACAGCTGGTATACATCATAAAATTGGACACTGTTGTGTAACAGACATTACCTCCAGTTCATATTTCAGAAATCATTTAATTTCCTTTGAGCTGTCATGACCAGAGTAGAATCATCACGTCTTAATGGATCACTCATGATATCTGTGATATTGTGACCATATGACCACAGCTAAACACAAGTCTGCTTATTCTTTGCAGAAAAAAATGCTTTATCAAGACCGAATGATAATATTGCAATACATACTAAATACCACAGACAGCATGGAGCATCAACAAAAAGGGTTTGTCCCATATGCATAAAGCCCAAGGGAAACTAGTTCCACCGGCTTCATGGCTTGCAGAGAATGTCTCTGCGTGCACTGAAGAGACAGCTGAACTGGATTTACTTGTTTTTCACCTGATCTGTAGGCTTCCTGTTCTTCACTAGCTGACAGGCTGAAAAAGACACTGAATGTGAGACAAGCAGGGTCTGTGAAAGCATCCTACCATGGGATCCAAGGATCATACAAAGCCGAAAACAATCAAGCGTAACAGAAGCCTAATATTGCTTGAGGAGCTATGAAAAAACGGTGTCGCTTTCCACCATAACAAGAGGAAACGGTCTCATTGAGGACACACGCATAAGCACACCCACTTATTCAAAGCAGAACCCAGCCCATCCTTATGGGCATATGTACGGAAGTTAGTTTCACATGTGACTACACCTACCTGCATCTCTGTGTGTCCTGTAACCATGGACACTACTGTTTGTAACTTAGTTTTCTACTGTTACATAAGACTAAGTGTGAGTGAAAAATAATTGCAAATGTGTCTAACAGGAACACTGATCTGGGAGAGTGGAAACACAATGGTTATCTATCTGACTCAAGCCTGGACAAACACATAGTGCTAAAAATAGCAAGAAACTAGGTTGTAACCAGGACCAGTATAAGTACAACCTGTTCAAGAAGGGCTGAGAATTAGAGACTGTTTCTATCTAAGTGAACAAGAGATGGAGGGCAAACAATAGCTGAATACGACACCCAGCAGGAGCTGATAGACCAGCCACTACATTCATAAGATTTTCATAATAACAACAACAAAACGTACACAGGGTGGATGTACATACACAAATCCCTGGTTAATTTAAATTTATGTAATTAATATAGAATGAAAAAAAAAATGTTTAGTATAAGTTTGTTCTTGTTTTGACCACTGAAAGAAAAGATCATTTATGATACCAATTACATATATTAGTACCCTATTACCCTATACGATTCAGTGAATGGTCACATCTATCTATTTATTTATTTGTAAATGACCACAGAAAGAAGTTACAAAAATAACAACAAGTAGCTGCTGTAGCCTACTGCATGTCGATAAGGATGCTGAAAACAGGAGCAGTGTCTCGTGTTCATCTCTGTCGTACGTGACCTGTGGGAAGTACATTTTCACTCACCATTTTTATTCGTTTATCACAGCGCAGCCGATCTTCTGATATAATCCGTTCTGCAACTGGTTATTAAAACAAAATAAGCCTATTAAAAGTGTCTGGGTAATGTCACGGTCTCTTTTGGCCTCTGGTGCTGTTAAACGTCTCCTCAGGACCAGTGTCGCCGCTCCATAATAGTGTACACCGCGCCGGTAAACCGCTCGAGCGCACTGCCCGTACTGCAGTGAGCGTCTGCTCTACAAAGTTCAACTTTGTGGCCGCTGGTTGACGGAATCAAAGAGGAAAACAACCCATAAATGGAGAATTTCGTGCGTTGCCTTTGGCCAATAGGAGCGCCGCTCGGCGCGTCATTCCGAAGGGAATCCCAGCAGATGATTTCGGGTGTATTAATGCGCGTCCCATATGCGCAGGGAGCTGCGTACAATATATTACTACTATATCACTGTACTGAACAATAAGTTCAATTAGAATACAGCAATATAATTGAAGCACATTGTAATTATTCAAAGCAGACGTATAGGTTATCGTTATATCTTACCTTTAATTTTATCAGTGAGTTTGATTGTGAAGTATCTATATGTTAAATTCTATTATGAAACAAACAAACAAACAATAAGATGCTTTTTTGGAGTTCAAATCCAGATTTTTCATGAAAGGTCGTTTTTATATATTTTTTGAAAATGTTTATATCATTCTAAATTATATTTATATAATTTATTATTTTTATTTATATTTTCAATATTTTTGTTCTAGCCTATATTTATATTACGATCATTTATATGTAATATTATATTATCAGTAGTAGTAGCCTATATGTAAATGATCATTACTTGTTTTAAATGTTCATATAAACACTTTACAAAACTCTTGTTCAGGCCATAACCTTTTAAGTTCTCCTTTTAGCAGCTCACATTTCAAGGGGAACCTTTAGTTCACAATTTTTAAGGAACCTTTGACAACTTTTTAAGAGAAACTAAACCAACAAGGACTGGCAAAATCCCTCACTCTATCCATCTATTTACAGCCGTGAAGCAAATTGCTTTTATAGGTTTAAATTAAAGAGTACACTACTGTTCAAAAGTTTGGGGTTATTTATTTATTTTGTATAAGAAAATAAATGATTGCTTTTATACAGCATTGACACATTAAATAGATCAAAAGCGACAGTAAAGACATTTAAGATGTTACAAAATATGTCTATTTAAAAAAATCATGTTTTTCATAAGAATTGCTAATACATTGATAACCACACTGATAATAATAAGAAAATTCTTGAGCATCAAATCAACAAATGATTTCTGAAGGTTCGTGTGACAGTGTCACTGACTGGAGGATGGCTTTGCAATCAAAGACAAATTACATTTTAAAATATATTAAAACATAAAAAAAGTTAAAAATATTTCAAATCATTTAGATATTTAACACTAATACTGTTTTCACTGTATTTTATCATATGAACGAAGCATGAGATTCCTCTTTAAATAAAACATTAATAATCACAACGACCTCAAAACATTTAAATGGTAGTGATTATATTATATTTTATTATATTTTTAACCTGTCCAACTTGACAATCATATAGCGCGTTCAGGTTTAGGCATTACAAGAGAAATGGATGATAACATGAAAGCATTTTATAATTGTATTTGAGAAAGGTATTCTGAGTAAAAGAGAACTGTATTTTCATCTTGTGACTGCAAGGGGCAGTCGTGACCTTACTGAGACTCTGCATGCAAAACTACAATCATTCCAGTAGGTGGAGCCATAGTCCATTAATACACTCCAGCTAAACTATGCAAAACATTGAAAACGGTCTACATATATATATACTCGTTTATTAAACTGTTCTGCACTTGTATAAGTATGTTAAGAAAACTGTCACCCCATATGTTTGACATCTGGACGACTGCTAACCTCAATAGTCAAGCCTTCACTTGGTTTGATAGTAGTATCCTCCGTAACTCAAGTGTGTTTGCTGTAAACAGTGTTTACTTTGTTAATGATTTTTTTTGTCAAAAGGGACCACAGCACTACATGTATTTAGACATGTAGGGTAAGATGGGGCAAGATTCCCTCCTTTTAGAACAGTGTGCATTTACTTTTAACTTGTATCATATTTAGATCTAAATTTAACATGTGCAGGATGATGAAGCATCAGCCAATGTGTTACTAATGGAAATAAATGAATATATATATAACATTTTTAAGAAACATTTAAATAGTGGACTTATAAAGCGTATTCTCTGCATTCGAATATTTAAAATTCTAGTAAGCCCAATTCTAGCTCATATATAGAATTAAATATATATGTTAAAACGCTTAATATATTTGGAATATTATAAACAATATGAACATTCGTATTTAAAAAACAAAACGCTCCAGTGGTCCACAGGGCTCGCCATAGCTCACTCCTCCTGGTTTTTGTGGTCCAGAGCTCAAGCACGCTGCACCTCCCCGTTCCTCCTTTAATAAACATGGCTGAACTGAACACGGAGGGTGGATTACAGCACCAGCACAGGACTCGCACACACTCACACTGTTGATTCACACAAGAAGACTGAGCATGATGTGAATGTTTACAGCAGGGAGCCAAAGCAGCAAAAGTTTGAGTTTGACAGCCGCTAACGAAGAGACTTGAGCGGGACAGACCAGCTCCAGCTGAGATACTACTGCATGCAAAGCGTAGACTAAATACTGCTTTCGCATTTATAGAAACTATGCGTGTCTACTGAAGAAACCCTGGATTTAATGCTCTGAAGTAGCCCAAAACAGGTTGGCTTACATTTGAAAGAGTTTTAAGCTGCTCTTATATGGATTTACAGTTTGTTATATTGTCCCGTTTAAATGATGTTCTCCGGTAAACAAACGAAGCCGACTTTTAAGTCTTATCTTCCTCCACTTCAGGTGAGTGAGACACTTGCATCATGCTAACGAGTAGCAGCTAAAACAAAGTTGTCATACTCGTTTATTAAACTGTTCTGCACTTGTATAAGTATGTTAAGAAAACTGTCACCCCATATGTTTGACATCTGGACGACTGCTAACCTCAATAGTCAAGCCTTCACTTGGTTTGATAGTAGTATCCTCCGTAACTCAAGTGTGTCTGCTGTAAACAGTGTTTACTTTGTTAATGATTTTTTGTCAAAAGGGACCACAGCACTACATGTATTTAGACATGTAGGTTAAGATGGGGCAAGATTCCCTCCTTTTAGAACAGTGTGCATTTACTTTTAACTTGTATCATATTTAGATCTAAATTTAACATGTGCAGGATGATGAAGCATCAGCCAATGTGTTACTAATGGAAATAAATGAATCTGACATGTACATCTAACTCATGGAATGTTTTAATAATGACCCCAAGAATTATAATTACAAGTGTTACTTAAAAAAAAAAAACCATTACAACACTAGAAACAACGAATTAAACTGTTCTGCACTTGTATAAGTATGTTAAGAAAACTGTCACCCCATATGTTTGACATCTGGACGACTGCTAACCTCAATAGTCAAGCCTTCACTTGGTTTGATAGTAGTATCCTCCGTAACTCAAGTGTGTTTGCTGTAAACAGTGTTTACTTTGTTAATGATTTTTTTTGTCAAAAGGGACCACAGCACTACATGTATTTAGACATGTAGGGTAAGATGGGGCAAGATTCCCTCCTTTTAGAACAGTGTGCATTTACTTTTAACTTGTATCATATTTAGATCTAAATTTAACATGTGCAGGATGATGAAGCATCAGCCAATGTGTTACTAATGGAAATAAATGAATCTGACATGTACATCTAACTCATGGAATGTTTTAATAATGACCCCAAGAATTATAATTACAAGTGTTACTTAAAAAAAAAAAAACATTACAACACTAGAAACAACGTGCCAACCCAAAGATTCTCATTTATCTTTTCATTTCAAAATAAAACAATAGTTTTTGCTCCACAAATCTAAAAACATTTAGTGTCAAATTCCTCATTAACAAATAGACACAAAAACCGTTGACATTCAACACAACACAGTGTCACCGATCACTATTTTTCAGAGACACAAAAATAGATCAGTTAACGGTTTTGACCATTTTTGAAGAACCTTTGTTTATATGAACAAATGTTGATATTCAGAACAAATGACAAAATGAAGAAGAGCATAGCCACGCATTAAATGTGTTGAAATGAGATTTTGTGCCATATGGTCAAGAGAAAAATGTAAGCGGGAAGATATAGGTCTTGCATACCTGCAAGAGATGAAGTGATTTTAAGTGTTTTTAATGTTTTACACAGACTGACTCGAAGAAAAGTCCTCAACTGCCCATCAAGAAACTAGAAGCAAAACTTCTACCAGGTAAGTGACTTTCAGAACTATTTACTCTGGAAGAAAGAAAGCTGAATCAGTTATCATGACAAACAACTCATAACGGTCACAGGATTGGGGGGGTGTGGCTTAGAAGATGAAGATTTGGTCTGGTAATTGAATGTTTGTAGGTTCAAACCCCCGTGGACTATTTCACAAAGCTGGTTTCAGTGGCTACTCAGATGAGTTAGAGTTTAGTTTGAGCAAATTCTGGTTTTTCAGGTTCAAGAAGATGGATTGGTTTTACTTGTGCTCATCACCATAAGATCAGCTGTGAGCAAAGTGACATACTGTATATCTGATGCAGTAAAGTCACTCACTGTATTTCTTCCTCCAAATTAAAGCAGTTCACAGGTAAAGCAATTAAGAAGAGCATAGCCACTCATTAAATGTGTTGAAATGAGATTTTGAAATGAGTTAAGCAATTTTCACATTTGTTTTGTATTTCATTTTTTAAAATATAAGTACAAGCTTTATAATATATAAAGCTTTTGAATTGGTTAAATTGGCACGTTTTATTTTAAGCTCTTTGTGAACCTATATAAATTAATAATTAAATTCAGTTGATTCACTTGCATTAATATAGTCAGAAATATTCTTTGAGTTGGCTTCTTGAATTCTCATGGCAGCAGCAGTATTTTTTCTCCCTTATAAATACGTTTAAATTCATGATATTTTCAACGATTTCTTAATCTCCAGAAGAGAAAAGAATTGCGCTGACTCTCTCAGAGGAAGTGAATCAAGCTGATGCTCTCCATGCAAAAGTTTGCAGATGCCAAACTTTAAAATGCTATGCTCCAAAGTTAATCATAAACTCTGGATCAACCCCTGAACTGACAGAGAACATTTATAACAAGTTTTCTGAACTTGCTGAATCTGATCTAAGCCGGTTGGTATTTGTTTGGTTTCGTCAACTCTAAGCCTACTTGTTCAACTAGTGTAGCAGACCACTGAATAGGCTGGTTTATGAACTGCGTTTTTACTAGGATTGCTTTTGTAAATTGTACAGTTAATTACTTTCGATCAGAAAGCATCTGCTAAATGAAAACTAATGTCATTTTAACAATTTGGTGGTTCTTGTTTCAATCCCCTCCCTTTGCTGTTCAATATGCCACATTTTGGTACATTGTCAATCAACAGAAGGCCACCTGTTAGTTTCCATAGCAATCAGTTGTCTTTTGCCCTTTTCTCTATTTTTACCATTGCATCACCAATCAGCTTCTGCTATTGTGAGGTGAACATTTGGCAGGAGAGAAGTGCTTGTGAAGGAGAGAGAGAGAGAAATGAAACAGAAATGATGTCTTAAAATGAGTGAAATTGAGTGACCAGTTGAACATGATATTCACAGAGGTCCTTCCTGTATACAGAACAGTATCTTATCCAGCCTGTTTCCTGCACTTGTGCAGCCTCTGAATTTTTAATGCGTGTCCTTGCATAATGAGCCTGTGATCTGCCATGGTTTGTTGTGTTTGGGTTTTGATGCCAGCTGAAGTGTTTACAGAGGGTCTACGATGCAGCTTCCTCTAGACGGCATTTTAATGCCATGCTCCCTGATTTGTGAATTGTAAGTAGAGCAAGTATGTGAGGTTAAGAAGATATTATTGAGATTTTTTGAAAATCATTGACTCTCTCCCATGTTGTACCAAACATGTATGTCTTTCAATTCATTCTTCTGTGGGACGAGAAAGGAGACGTTTTTAAGAAATGCACCGGTTGCTCTTCTAGGGATTGGAGCTACTTCAAAAATGATGCAAAATCACCATAAATGTATTATAAACAGACCAAAATTTAAATTATTATAATCTTTCTTGCTAGTGTTAACTTGAGAATTGCTGTGACCAGCGTTGTGAACCGTATCACTCCAATCGTGACTGAAACATCAAGGCTACTTCTACATTAATCCGGATATATTTGAAAACTGTGCTTTCTTTGTCCACACTAGCATTTTCAAGTGTTTTCCAAATTGTGCTCATCTAATACCTCAGTTTTCACAGTCCACACTACAATGCAAAAACAGCATTTTCAATAGGGATGCTCCTATCCACCTTTTTTGCCTCCGATATCGATTCCGATACCTAGGGTTCGGTATTGGCCGATACCGATTCCGATCCGATACCAGTGAAGTTTTTTTCCCTCATTTAAATAAATGTAGAATTTATATATCTCTGTGTGTGGAACTGATAATCATTCTTTCACAATCTACTAGATACAGACTACTTCATTATAAAGAAAAATAAAATAAACAAATATGAAAAAATATAGGCCTATGTATATTTATAATCTATGACAAAAATGTATCATAAACTAGGTTAGTGGATAATTCGGCAGCAAAATTTATTTCTAGAAAAATCAGTGCACAATAATTTTAGAAATCCAAACATTTAGTGAAAAAACAATATTTTGTGGGGAACAAATAAAAGTGTTGCACTAAATATGGTAAAATGTTACACATTGCTATTTGTATTATTATAAAATCCATTCATTAAAAACATTCATGAATGTATTTATTTATAAATATATACTATAAAATTAAAATACATTTATTTTAAATGTATAGCATATTTTTTAATAAGGCAACAACATATGATAGATACGATAGGACAAAACAAATACAGTGCAGCACGAACTGTTTTTGTACAGTCAACCCGGACAACTACGGACACCTTGGCAATTGAATCGCCATTGGCTAGTATATATTTTTGTTTACTCGCCAGACTGAAATACTATACTATATATATATATATATATAAGTTATGCCATTTTACAAACATATATAATGTTTGTAAAATGGTACAGCTTTTTAAATATCTGAAAGTACACTTTTAATATCAGTCAGTCAAGCATTATAATATGATAATCAAGTATTATTTAATAATAGAAGTTTAGTAATTAGAATTAAAACTTGGTAACCATGAACTTAGGACTGGTGCTGGTGCTTTTTTTGGTCATTCAGTGTTCCTGTAAAAAAAAAAAAGAACAATAATACTGATAAGATATTATTATTATACGAATTCTACTCATAAGAACAATATAAAAACGCACTAAGGATTAATGAGGAACTGGATTCATGAATATTAATCAGGTTGTGTGCGTTTGCTCGAACTGATTCGCTGAAATCAAAACAGGAAGGATAATTGGTGAGCACCAGCCAATGAGATTGTCGTTTGTGCATTAGTTCCGCCTACTACAGGAAAACCCGTCAGTTCTTAAAAGCTGAAGAATTCCAAAGGAACTCTGTTATCTTTACAGGAAAATACAACAAAGTATATGGTTTACATGTAGCGCATCAATTCTGCATGTTATGTAAGACTCTCGCTCGCTCTCGCTCTTTGCGCGTGTGAGAAAGTGGCGGCGAGTCGTGCGCCTTCACACTAGAGTTTACGTTACGACAAATACACAAACACAGGTGTGCTGCGCATCCATTCAAATGAACTGAAAAATATCACAGATCGCTTGACGCAGAGTGAAACTCTGAAACTTTAATGTAAGGACTTAAATATTCATATGTAGCTCACATTAAGCTATCATATGGCTTCAGAAGTAACACAGAATAATTCGCACAATCGAGAAAAAAATACCCGATACCCGATCCGAGAAAAATGACACTATCGGAGCGATACCCGATATGAATATCGGATCGGTGCATCCCTAATTCTTCAACTTTATGAACTTTAAGCATCTTCAAAAATCTGCCTCAGTGTGGACTGAACTGCCGAAACTAAAAAATGTGTTTCAAACGCTTGAAGGGTTAGTTCACCCAAAAATGAAAATTCTGTCATTAATTACTCACCCTCATGTCGTTTCAAACCCGTAAGACCTTCGTTCATCTTCAGAACACAAATTAAGATATTTTTGATGGAATCTGACAGCTCTCTGACCCTGCATAGACAGCAACGCAACTGAAACGTTCCCAAGTCCAGAAACGTAGCGAGGAGATCGGTGAAATAATCCATGTGACATCAGGGGTTCATCCGCAATTATACGAAGCTACGAGAATACTTTTTTTTTGCGCAAAAGAAAAAAAAAATAGCAACTTTATTCAACAATTCGTCTCCTCCGCATCACCCTGGTGCCATTTTGGAGAATATCCGCTGGATGTAAACAGTGTATGCTGTTCTGTGTCAGTCACGCCGGATCTGTTTCCTACATTGTTGTGATTTGATCTGAACAAAAACAGCGTATCCACGTGACGCAGCTGACACAGAACAACATATGCTGTTTACAGGGAGGAGACGAATTGTTGAATAAAGCCGGGTTTTTTTTGGGGGGGGGGTTTGCGCACAAAGTATTCTCGTAGCTTCGTGTAATTGCGGTTGAACCCCTGATGTCACATGGATTATTTCACCGATCTCCTCGCTACGTTTCTGGACTTGGGAACGTTTCAGTTGCGTTGCTGTCTATGCAGGGTCAGACAGCTCTCAGATTCCATCAAAAATATCTTAATTTGTGTTCTGAAGATGAACAAAGGTCTTACAGGTTTGAAACGATATGAGGGTGAGTAATTAATGACAAAATTTTAATTTTTGGGTGAACTAACCCTTTAAATTGGGACCGATGTAGATTTAGCCTCAGACCAGTTTTATAAATTGGATTAACTGATTCATTAAAAAATTATTTATTTACGAAAATTCTAAAGCATTTGATTTAGAAGACATGAAATATAACAAAACATATAAATCATATAAACCAATCTTATGATTCTTTTCGTGCAGTTTTGAATTTTTTTTAAACTGAAAAATTTCGCTCAGAAATGTCGACCAGTGCATGGTGTCTTCCATGTAAGAAAGTCATATTGGTTTTGAACAAATAAATTTTGAGTAAATGATGAAAGAATTTCATAATTTTGGGTTAACTATCCCTTTAAAATCAGCTCTTGTGCAGAATGCAAAAATGTATTGCTTCTATGGCAACATTGAGAAAATTTACCTTTTCATTTACATATAATCATTTAGCAGACTTAAAAAAGAAGACAATAGAAGCAATTAAACCAA